TGCTGAGCTTGTACAGCTCATTTCAAACAGGTCTTTTGTTAGAAACGGAGTAGGCGAGTGGGATGTTGTTGTATTGTAGTACAGGTGGTCAGAAATTTTTGGCCGGTATTAGGTGAAAAGGTGTGGGATAAAAGTCCTGAGTGCTCCGAGTGGGAAATATAACTGCAACCGTCCAGGAGAAGGACACGCCCACTTTGGGAGGCCCCCTTCATAGTGGCCACGCCCCTAGCCCGTCCCAGGGTCACTCCCATCCAGGATCCTGGAATGGAGGAGGGGCAGTGGACAGTCCCACGGAGCTGAAGCTGCGGCAGGTGTCCCCCCACTGGGGGCTGTGGGGTTTGGCAGGTAAAGGCGGGGGACTGGGGCGGAGGAGCGACTCCCGGCTTGGGCTCCCCCTACCCACCTGGAGAGGAGGGGCCGATCAAGTGATGGACTGGACTGTCCCACAGAGCTGGAGCTGTGGCGGGTGTCCCACGCCCCCCCCCCCCCCCGCTGGCGGGGGTGTGTGGTTTCTTAATGTGATATTTTAAAATGTAAATTTAAATAATTTTACGAAGGTCAGATGAATTATAAGATTTATAATTTGCTGCATAATTAGTAACTATGCTTATATCCAGGAGGAAAATGTGGCAATTCATCTGAAAGAGAGCAGACATCTAGATCTCTGAATCTTCATTTCCAGTTTAACTGAAGGTTAATTTACACAAACAGTTATAGAACATATTGGAAACCATTATTTATGAGGTCACTCATCTAACCTCTCTCCCTGTGTAAAATAGAAGTTAGAATATTTTTTCTTTCAACACTATCCTAATTGCCTGCCTTCAGTTTTGCTGGTCATACATTTCTGTATTACTTTCACCAAATTTTTTTTTTTTTGTTTTTTACTTTGGGGCCACATCTGGTGGTGCTCAGGTGCTTCCCGGGCTCCACACTCAAGGATGGCCAGGGGACCATAAATAGTGCTGGGGATTGAATCAGGGTCGGCTGCTTTTAAGGCAAGTGCCTTAACTCCTGTACTTTCTCTGCCCCTTGTCTAACATTTTTTGTTAGGAACTTAAAACCTTTAAAAGTTAGTGTATCCTTAGGGATTTATTTGCAACCCTCTTGTATTTCCATTATACCTTCTTCATGATGATATAGCACCTTGCTCCCTTTATTTGAACTACTAAACTATCTTGAGCATTACACACTTCCAAGGGTTCTATCATTTTATCTTTGAGACCAGTATCTTCCCCTTGTGATGAGAAAGGGTATATAACTCTTGAGCATCTTGAGTTCATCATTTTTCCTACAGTTGTTCTTTCCCTACTCAGGACAATGACACCACTGTTCTTCCCAGAGTAAGTCAACTAATTTCGTTTTCTCCCTCATTCATCACAACCAGTCATGCAATTGTATTCGTTCTCAACTTAAGTTCTGAAATCCATCTCTAATTTAATTCAAACTGTAATCCATTATTTCTCTAATAGCTCCTTTTACTGAAATTCCTTTTATTCTGGTTTCTTCTGTCTTGAATGCTGCTTATCTAAAACACATTTTTCTGTTCCAAACTTTCCAGTGTGCCACAGACTCACCATGCCATCCTCCACCAGATTTATATATTTATCTATTTGTTTGGGGCCAGCAGTTCTCAGGGCTTACTCGTGGATCTCTGCTCAGGAATCACTCCTGGTAGTGCTCTGCAGACCATGTATGGTGCCACAAATCGAACCCAGGTCAGCTCTGTGCAAGACAAACTCTTTATGGTCTGCATCATCTCTTTGACCCCAGATTTCCTTTATATCACCGTATCAGTTTTCTAGGGCTATAAACAAGTACCAGATTGAGTAGTTTACACAATTTATTTTTCCTTCACAGTTCAGGAGGTGAGAATTCCAAGGTTGTGACAAGTTTGCTCTCTCCTGTGACCTCTTCAGGGCCTGCAGATGATTGCCTTCTGGCTGTGTGGCTTTGTATGAGCTTTTATGTATGCAATGGCATCCTAGTGTGTATCCTAATTTCCTCCCCTTATAAGGACACTAATTCTAACAGATTAGTGAAGACATCATTTGAATGTAAAACACTCTTGTGCTGTTATTGCTTGTTTTGTTTGTTTTTGTTTCTTGGCCACACCTGGAATTACTCGGGGTTCATTCCTGATGGATTTGGGAAGGGGGTGAGGGACGGATATAGAGTCTCTCAGGGAACTAACCTGGGTCAGCTGCATGTAAGGCAAATGCCTGACCCATTATTCTATCATTCCAGCCTCTTGAAATAACCTATTGCCACTTAGAGACTCTGAACTATGGGACTTAGTAGATCATCATAGAATTGGTGTGTATGCAAGGGGGTATGGGCAGGTGGGAAGAGATACTTTGTCCTAAAACACCATTGTTCTTTTATAAATCAAATACAGGTACTCATTTAATCTGCGAAATAAATTCCAAAATACAGGTATCAGAATTGATATCACCACTTGCTTAATTGTTTGTAGTTGATCAGTTTCTACATTTACAGATGTCTCTTCTCTATAGAACTTCTCTTCTCCTCCAGGATAACTCTATTTGCTTCAAAGACTCAGTAAGAAAACAATTTTATTCAGCTCTGAGCCTTTAAGATAAAAGACTTGGTAGTAGCCATTAACTCTTGACTCAATCCAACTTTATTTGTTTTTTATTTTTTTATTTATTGCTATTAATTCAGCCATTGATTAGGCTGATTAAATTGGGCATGAACTCCACCTTAGTTTTTATTTTTCTTTTTTATAATTTTATTTATTGAATCACCGTGAGAGCAGTTACAAAGCTTTTGGGCTTAAGTCTCGGTCATACAATGAAACACCTGTACCTTCACTAGTGCCCAGTTTCCACCACCAAAAACCCCAGTATGCTCCCCATCCCACACCCTCCCCCCTACCTGTGGGGCAGATGATTTCCATATTACTCTGTCTCTACTTTGATTGCATTCAATATTTTTACACCAGATCCACCATTATTATTTGGGATTTTTACCCCAACACTCAGATCTGCCGAAAAGGCAACAGTAGACAATTTGTTTTCTATTGCTGGTTATGAATAACATATGATGTTGCATGGCTGCAGTAGGGCTGTATGATTTTGAAATTCCAAAATTTTAACAATCAAATCTGGATGGATTTCTGCCAAAACCTGCTGGGTTCCGAGATTTGTTCCTGAGTCTCTTGGATCATGGCCATTGAAGCAGCTTGATCAGGAGCCAGAGAGGCCGTTCGTGGATGGCGACTCGGGGTCTTGTTAGGGTGGGGAGGACTGTCTCCAACCCCCCTCCTGTGAGGCCTCATGTGTCGCATCACTGTGGGCCCAAACCATACTGTCCAATGACCTCTGGAGGATGGTGGCCACCAAGTCACAAAGGTGGAGGGACAGCACCCTTTCCCCAATGGGGTGGCCTGGCGCCGGTAGCCTACTGCGGGGACCAGACGCATTTCTACCAAATCCTGCTGAGTTTGGAGATTTGTTTCTGAGTCTCTGGGAACATGGCCATCAAGAAGCTTGATCAGGAGCCAGAGAGGCCATTTGTGGGTGGCGACTCAGGGTCTCGGTGGGGCAGGGAAGAAAAAGCTGGCTCCACCTCCATCTCGTGAGGTCCCTTGTGTCTCATCACTGCAGGCCCAAACCTGACCATCCAATGACCTCTGGAGGATGGGGGCCATTGAGCCGCCAGGGGGAACACGCCAAGGCACAAAACCTATTCCCACCTGGGGTGACCGGGTGCCAGAAACCTACTGCAGGGACTGGATGCATTTCTGCCAAAAGCCGCTGGGTTCCACGATTTGTTTCTGAGTCTCTGGGATCATGGCCATTAAGCAGCTTGATTAGGAGCCAGAGAGACCATTTGTGGGTGGCAACTTGAGGTCTCATTGGGGTGGGGAGGAAAGGGCCGGCTCCACCCCCATCTCGTGATGCCCCATGTGTCTCAATACTGCAGGCCCAAACCTGAATGCCTAATGTCCTCTGAAGGATGGCGGCCACCGAGCTGCCAAGGGAGAGCAAGAGGAGGGACATTCTTTCCCCTTTGGGGTGGTCTGGTGCTGGTAACCCATTGTGGGGACCAGACGCATCTCTGCCAACAACTGCTGGATTCCGAGATTTGTCTCCGAGTTCTGGAGATTATGGCTGTTAAGCAGTTCCATCAGGAACCAGAGAGGCCTTGCCTCCAATTATATAGCTGAGCCGGAGGTGGTTTGTGGGTGTGTCTCCCACATACCTAACTTTTGGCCATTTATTTTTTTGGTAAGCTTTGCTCCAAGTTTTTTGGGTCTGACCAAAGGCACAGCAGCAGTATCTGGAAGTTGGAAGGCACCATGAGGCTCTGATGCACTCACCTCACAGGTACAGATTGAGCTGCTGGCGGTACCATATCCCTGTCAATCCAACTTTAAAAGAAGATAAATGAGAAGACAGGAAAAAGTTCTGGAGAGAGGAAACAACATCTTACTTGTAGAAATATAAGATCAAGCAACTACAAAAAATTCAGTAGGCTGTGTTAGCAAATGATGTTGGTATTTTGGCATTCATGTTGCAGTTTAAAATGTTAGTATGCTTGCTGATACTTAAAAGAAGAGGCACAGTGAGTTTTCCAAATTTGCATTAGCAGTTATAAATAAAACAAGTCTTATGGTTATTTATGCATTTGTTTTTCTCAGTTCAATTTCCCATTTGTTGAGACTTATACTGTTGAAGAAGTGAAGGTTAACCCAATAAATAATATTAGTGAGCACAATTCAGAGGAAGAAGATGGACCACATGAAACTTCTTCAGAAAGCAGTTTCCCTTGGAATATAGATGGTGATTTAATGGAAGTTACATCAGAGGTCCATGTTAGGTAAGTATAATTATTTTCACATGTTAGATGCCCACTAATATAATGGAAACCTTCTTAGAATTATCAGAACAAGCATTAGACAGGTAGTTGTTTTTTGAGTAAATTAGGAAAGCAAATAAAAAGATACACACAATTTTAATAAATAAAAAGCAAATCTTTACATTTATTTACCAAACATTACATAAAACAAAGATATTTTCTTTGGCATTCATTTGCATTATAATTTTATAAAATAATGCAGAGTTGGGGCCAGAATCATAGTACAGCCAGTAAGGCGTTGGCCTTGCACGCAGCCAATCTGGGTTCAATCCCTGGCATCCCATATGGTCCCCCAAGCACCTCCAGGAGTAATTATGAGTGAAGAACCAGGAGTAACACTGAGAATTGCTGGGTGTGACCCGAAAAGAAAAAAACGCAGAGCGACAGTTTCATTTTGGATTTTTGATATGGATTAAGTTCTTAAACCTTGTGAAATCCCTCATGTATGCTATCTTTACAGTTTTTTTTTTTACCTCCAATTAGTAGTAGACCACTTTGTGTTCAACAGTTTGTTTTCAAAAGCATTTTTTAAAACTTATTATTTATCTCACAAGAGATCTTGGTAGCAATAGGTATAGGCAAATCCAGACTCCTCCCTGGTAAGCATTATGACTCAAAGGATTGGTGTTGTGCAGGGGCAACCCCCTTGATTTTTGGGAGACAAAACTGACTGGGATTACAGAGACAATGGACAGCATGTCCAGGAAATGACATAATAGTAATTACTGGTGCTTATTTTTCACACCCTAAATATCTCTAGGTTGCATTTCTACCATATAAAGTAGGATGATGGCTTTTAGATTTGTGAGGTATTATGTAACATCAATACATATGTCTGTGAATAAGTTGATGAAATAATCTTATATATTTTTTCTTCATAGACTACATCCAAGACTTATTACCCTATATGGAGGAAGCATGGAAGAAATTAATGATTCCAAAGTAACTTGTAACTGTTTATAAAAGAATGTATTCCTACTTTATACATTCTAGTCAAGAGAATCTCCACTTATCTTTAAAAGAAATTGAAATTATTATTTTTGATGTTGCTAAAAATAATATTAGGTTCCAGGACTTTGAAATAACCAGAAATTAAAAAATATGAACTATACCAGAAACAAAATTAAATTCTGGTTTGGGAAAGGCATTTATTGGAACTGAAAAAAAGCCTTTTCATATAATCTAGAAATCATTATGACAAACTGATATTTAAGCTAGACTATTACAAAGTTAAATAATGTGAGTTCAGATGTTCAATTATTTTATAACCTGGTATAAAATAGCTCCCAGAGTTTATATAAGAATGCCCTGATTAAGGGACCTGATCCCAGTGAGAATTAAGTTAAAAATTAGATTATATAACCTGAGATAGCACCATTATTTTTCAATAAAAATAATGATTCTAAAAAAGAATTATCCTTTCAAAAACATTGCAACAATTTTATGAATATCTTCTTAAAATGATACAAATTTTAAGATTACTTATAAAATTTAGATCTAACTGTCCATAACCTGGCCAGATGAAGTTGTGTACTCTTGCCCTGAAATTCATGTTGTTGGGCATTCAGTGCTTATTATTTACAGCGTACTCAATACCCAGAATACTGGAAATTCAGAACAGCAAAGAACTGAATCTTTATTTACTCAGATTCCTGACCCTATGTATACATCTTCTGAAAGGTCCTCCAAGGCATAAGCAAATATTTTATAGTTAATTTTCAGATTGGTGTATATTCTGACTATGCTGGTGCTCACTGTGATTGGCTTTTGCCATTCCTATGCCTCCACAAATCTTCACACATTCCCCTCTTCTGCTACCAATTGCAGACTGAAAATTTGTGACTATCCAGTGATCAGAATAGTTGCTGGCAGATATCCACAGTAAAATTTGTGTTTTTGTTTGTTTTGGGGGGCCTACACCTGGCAATGCTTAGGGCTTACTCCTGGTGGTGCTTGGGAGACCGTCTGGGGTGCTGAGGACAGAACTCTGGTGGGTTGTATGCAAGATTGGCACCTGGCCGGCTATACTAGCATTCTGGTCCCACCTATGGCAAATTAAAAAAATTTGATCACAACCTTCTTACACGTATGAAAACAAATCTGAATTCAGATGAAATAAATATAAAAAATACTGCTTTAACATGTGTTTTAAGAAATAAATTATAAGATTCATTTCTACAAGAAATTGTTTTCTTTATACAAACAAAAAACTTAAAAATATTTCATTAATAGTTCATGTATGTTTTAGTTTTTCATAAACTCTGTGAATTGATGGTCCACTTTCATCTAGAAAAGATTTCCATCCAAACAAACACATTTTCTTATTTTTAGCTGTCACTGTTTTAAACAATATTATCTGCATAAAATATTGGCCCCTAATCATTCTTTACAATCTGTTTTTAGAATCACTGGTTTGCACATTTTTTATTTTAAATATCAGCTAAAGTGCGATATTCACAATCTATAAATTATAATTCTTTAGTCAAATTAATCAGTTTTAAATTTCACTCCTTAATGCCCTTGATAAAACTTTGTTACAGGACAGCTACAATATATTCCTATAAAAATATATACAGAAAAAGAAAATTAAACAGCTGTAAAACAGGAATTTACCAGAAATCACTCATTAAATGCAGACCAGTGTATAAATTCAGCCTCAAGTTACCTCATAAGGTTTACAAATTTTCATGAACTGTTCATAGAAGTTACTTAAATATATTATTAGCCTTAAAACAATAATGGTTCTCTTATTAACTAGCAATAAACCATTACCCAATTCAGTAGATGTAAAATGTCTTGACTTTTAATTTTCGTATATGCCAAGAAATTTCTCTCATTCAGTTGTTTATGTGTCCATTGATTTAAATTCAGTTGCACTTTTAAGAGGGAATTACTTGAACTCTTTGAATGCTTTAGTGTTTTTCTATCCATTTAAGGGTTGAAAAATCATTTTAAGATATTTTAATCACCTTTGCAGTTATTTTCTCTTGTTTCTATTAAGACTTGTCACTGGCTGTAAGTAAAGTCGCACACAAAGCTGAGCAAACTTCACTTTTTGTAAACAAACTGAGGCTGTGATTTGTCTCTCAATTTGAAAGAAGTCTTAGTGATCATCATCCTCATCATTGATTTTACTGTTCACATAACTCCAACTGTCCCTTCTGTTTTCTTCTTGTAAGACAGATTTATACTGTCTTTTAAAGAAGCCAACCTGAAAATACAGGGCACAATTACATTATAATCATAACAAATACATAGAATGTTTTACCAGCATTTACTGTGTCCCATGTAATTAGTAAAATTGGGAAACACTGGATGAAGTGACGAATGCTTTTTAAATCTCTGAATTTTGTTGAAAATAGGTTTTATTTAAGAAGGCAAATTTTTCTAAAATCGTCTTGGCATTAAATTTAGAATTAGAAATAATTAAGAGCCACAAATTGGGTTTGAGAAAATTAAGACTGACATTTGGAGTGGATTAACACTGGCAACGTTTAAAGGCTTACCTTCCACATGGCACCTGAAATCAGTAAGAGTAAAATAAGTCCAAGCAGCAAACTGACTATAACAATCGTTATAGTAAAGTGACGTTTAGGCTTTTGATGATGCAGTCCTTCCAGTAGAACCTACATAAATTAACCAAAATAATAACCAATTTAAGTACTTGCTTTTGGGTCCTTGATGCCTCCAAGCAGTCCCCAGCAACATTAGGAATAACGCACCCCTTTCACAAATTAGGTTCTAACACAATCATTGCAAACACCCTAATGGACTTTATCAGAGTTTTTGCTACCAAATTCACCTCTGGAAGGAGGGATATGGTTCCTTCCTGCCATTTCTATAATATGCCAACTTTCAGGTAAGGCTCAAGATCTATTTTCTTAATTCACACACTCAAAAGTTGGTAAACACTTTAACAAGATCCAATGCCCACCATCCCAACCCCCAATCTCCACATTTCAATTAAAAAGTTCTTACAAGTGCAACATTTTCATCCTTGTTCAGTTCAATAACTTTCGGATTTGCCTCTGGAAAAGCTGTTGCTCTTATTTCAAACTTGAGTGTTGAACTTTCATCCTGTTTAATAAAAGATCTCCAGTTTGATTCTTGAAAACATAGAATTGGAAATATTCTTCTTATCTCTACAGGTTTCACAGGTCAATTCAGTGCTTCCTTTGGTTTCAAAGACATGGTATTGGTATTTTTACAGCATAATTCCACTGGAATTCTTTTACTAACATCAAAACTTTTGGGGGGAGTAGCCTTTGAAATTGTATGGAATACTGAGTTTTTTATTTATGTTTACCGATTGGGGTAGATTATTATAAATATGTATATATACATATGTGTATATATGTATATATATGCCACACCCATATATATATATTAATCTTTGTTTTTTTGTTTTTGTTTTTCTTTTTGTTTTTTGGATCGCACCCAGCAATGTACAGGGGTTATTCCTGGCTCTGCACACAGGAATTACTCCTGGTGATGCTGAGGGGACCATATTGGATGCTGGGACTCAAATCCGGGTGGGCTGCGTGCAAGGCAAACGTCCTACCCGCTGTGCTATCGCTTCAGCACCAAGAGGTTATATTCTTAAGGAGGCTTTAAGACCTCAAATTGAAAACCTCTTCGCAGAGGTAATATTTTGGGCAAAAGGCAAACATCTCATTCACATACAGGGAAATGATTCTCAACTTTTGTTTTTTCTCGTGGACCTGGCTCCAGTGGTTATAAACTACTGTCAGGCTCCATAGACTGGAGCACCCATGTTTTGCACTGAGGCACAGGGCTGATCCCCTGCACTCTATGGGATCCTGAATACAGAGTCAGAAATAGAACATTAGCACTGCCAGGGATGGCCCCAAACCCAAAAACAAGAAAAACAAATTTCTTGTGAATGCCAAGACAATAAATTTGCTTTGAGTATGTGAATCTGTCATCTTGCCAGCTTGCTGCCAATAAAGGTACTTCTTATCCCATATTATAAATAAAAGCTCTATTATTCTAGATTATTAGTCAGCATTGTCTGCAGACATGCTGTCTAGACTTAATAGATGGTGCTTCTGGAAGTAGGCAAATACTAGAGATGTTGTTTCCTATCCTACAGTGATCTTGTGAAGCCTGTTCTGATTGAGAATCACCTGGTGTAAATCGCCAATGATGGCAGTTATCGAAAAAACCAGGACTGGAAAGTACAAGACAAATTGCAAAAGTTCAAATGATTTACTTATGGTCTCATGACTTAGTTTTTTAGCACAAATAAAAGCCAGACAGACATTTTTCATTTCTCTTCCTCTTAACAAAATACAGCTGCATTTTAGTTTGCCGACTATGTGCCATGCACTGTTAAGTGCTTTATAAATATCATGCACTGCACTGCACTGTCGTCCCGTTGTTTATCAATTTGCTTGAGTGGACCCAGTAACGCCTCCATTGCAAGACTTGTTGTTACTGTGTTTGGCATATGGAATACGTCACAGGTAGCTTGCCAGACTTTGCCGGGCGGGCGAGATACTCTTGGTAGCTTGCTGGGCTCTCTGAGAGGGGCGGAGGAATTGAACCTGAATTGGCCGCATGCAAGGCAAATGCCCTACCCACTGAGCATTTGCCTTGCATGCGGCCAACCCAGGTTCAATTCCCAGCATCACATAAATATCATATTATTTATTATTTAAAACTCTTGAAAAAAAATGACAGCCCTATTTATTTGATGTGAAACCTTAATACCAGATACAAAAAAGTTTGATCCCAAAGTATTTTTTTAAATATGCATGTTCCTTTATAGAAAGAAGTCCAACACATGTTTAATTTTTGAATACAAGTTGATTTTATGAAAAAAATCCTAAACTTTAAAAATATTTAATAAAGGAAAATATGTACGGAGAGAACTAAGTTTATAAGAAATAAAGTATTCAAATTCCTTGACTTTTTCAAAGCTCATATTCAGACATGCTTTCTAAAATAAACTTCTTTTTTAAAATAAAGTTCTTAATTATACCACAGTCTACTCAATATATTCATTTGTAATAATAAGTGGAAACAATTTTAGAATTGTTCTCTATTTTACTTTAATTCCTACCTTCTTAATTTGCTGTATTACCTCTACTAATAATATTGACGTATCATCCTACCTATAAGATAGTTTGGTTGAATTTGTATGTTCTAAAAGAATTAATTCACAAAGTTTAGACTTACTATTTGTAAAAGAGATGGCTGGCCTTCCAGCTGAATATGAACACTGGCTTCTTTTCCACTTTCCATTTTCCCAAAATTGCATAAGACAGTTAAACAATATGGATCAACTTTCATGCAGTGCTTGAAAAAAACACACACATAAAAGGACATTAAAAAAGAAACAACATTCTCTAAAAAGATGGCTGAAATATTAGTACAGAATTAATAATACTACACCCTAATAGTAGTTTTACTACATACATGAAATTAAAGATCTGCTTTTATTGGTGAAATCTAAAAAGTTTGTTAATAAGTTTTTATTTTTTGGATTTTTATAAGAAATAAATGATTTGAAATATAGTATGTTTTACCATTAATCTTATAAATGTAACCTTCTGGGATAGAATTGAAAATTGAATCATGTCTTGTCAAGACTTGTTCACTCTAAGACTTGAATAATTGTAAGGGTAAGGTATTCCAGCTATAAAAAAAAGATAAAGTCTTCATTTGCTGCATCTCGGATGGAACTGGAGAGTTCTTGTTAAGTGAAACAAGTCAGAGGAAGAAGGACAAGTACAGCTAAACTGAGTCATCTGTGTATCGAGAGAATAAAACATGGGATGAGACAGCCCCGAATGGTGACAAATGATTGACCTTGGATTAGAAAACAGACAATTCCAGACAGAGGAGGGTGAAATGGGGAATCAAGGATGAAGTGATCTAGAAATGATATGGGGTCATTGATGGTGGATCTGGGGTGTTTTGTGGATGCGAGGTATGATAACTATGCGTCAAGATCATAAGCATTAATTCTACTGGCATTATGTTTATGAAAACTATAGTAGTAAAATAATAATAATTAATAATAATAATTGTTCTTTTTCATAAATTAAGGTAAAAAGAGTGATAGTTGGAAACAGCATCTTGGTCTCTTAGGAGCCAAGAAATTTTGCTATTAGTTTGTTAAACAAGTAATAACATTATTTATTATTTAACCCTGAGTTCATCTCAACCCTCCTAATAATATTTGCTTCTCATACACAATACTATTACCTGAACTTGTTTCAATTCAAATTTCAATTCAAACCCTTTTGTAAGGGTTGTATGGTTTTAAACTTTTCAGTTTCTGGATGTCAGAAAGCAAAAATTTTTTTGTTCAAAAATTGAAACTTACAAAGAGCATTTTATCAGCCTTAGCAAAGAAGAGGTACATGTCTTTCAGGATGTTCAATCCACCTTTTTGTTGCTCAAATGAACATATTCTTTCATTGTTCTTAAAATGGCATTCTCCAGTAGTACTCTATAAGAAAGAAAGAAAATCAATTGACATTGGAAAGGACAACAAAACCTATATAGCCTCTAAAGGCACTATATGCTATAAAAATCTTTTTTTTTCAAGTATTTAGATGTGTGAGAAACTGTTGAAGTTGTTGATAGGGAGTCATTAAGTTTCCATAGCAAAACCAAAAATCGAATAAAATCTGAGAGTGATGGATATATACACCAAGCTGATTAAATAGCTTTAACTTTGTAAAAATTAGAACAAGTGAAAAATAGAAATTTTGAACATCAGCACGAAATCAAACATTTCCTCAGCTTTATACACAAAACAGTAATATTATAACAATATATGCTACTACTGAAATCTGGAATTAAGATTTTAAAACATTAGATCTCAAATTTACAAGATAGTTTATTTATTGCTTTTTGAAACTAGAAAAATACAAATTCCAATAAAATTATCAATGAGCCAAAAATTTGGTTCTAAAGATACAATGTGAAATCAGCAATGGTCTTATACTTTATAGGAAATTATACCAATCATATTACTTCCGGGAGTCCCTGTCACAAAGGAAATGTACTGAAGATGGTAGAGCATATATCATGCAATGTTTTCACCATAACGCTATGTTTCTAATGCAATGTATAATATTCAAAGTATACTCCCTAAAATTCATGGCAAATTATAATCTGACTGAAATAAGAGAAATATCCATAATAATAATATTACTCAGAATAAAGGCTAGCTTCTGAAGTGTGGGTCAAAACCCAATGGGGTTGCATACTTGAGTGTGGTGATTGCAAAATATTTGTTTAAAAATAAAGTTATTTTTTATTACCAATAAATGTTTGATTTCTATACCTATTTTATTTACCAAGCATTGCAAAAAAATGTTCTGTGTGAAAAACTGTTGTGACTGAGAAAATTTAAGAAGGCTTGAGAAAAAAAGAACACATTTTTACCTGGACATCCAGAATGTTGAACAGTGCATAGTTTTGGGGCATGAAAGAATTTGGAATCATTATTTCAACACTAACATTTGGAGCCATGCCAGAACCAGTGTTAATGACCTATTAAGAAGGAAAGAAATTCGAACAATTTAAAATACTTTTTATATGTGCAAATTTGTATATAAATAAATAATATATATGTTTATATAATAGATTGGGTGGGCATTTGCCTTGCACACAGCCAACATGGTCGATCCGAGTTCAATTCCTCCGCCCCTCTAGGAGAGCCCGGCAAGCTACCGAGAGTATCTCACCCACAAAGCAAAGCCTGGCAAGCTACCTGTGACATATTCAATATACCAAACACAGTAACAAGTTTCAAATGTTACTGGGCCCGCTCAAGCAAATCGATGAATAATGGGAGGACAGTGATAGTGATAGTGATCCAAATAGTATGAATATATATTCACATTCTGTGGGTTTTCATATACCCTAAAAATGTTTGGACCAAGTACTTCTTGGTTCAAAAACTATCTTGTAAACATTATATCCAATTATTTACTACTCATCAATAACAATGCTATACCAAAGATTTCAATGGCTGTAAAAGTTATACCAAAGATTTCAATGGCTGTAAAAGTTCTTTACTGTTTAGTGAATTCTTGGTTGTAAAACAGTAAATTGATATATCTGAATGAGCATAGAGTTCTTCAATTAAGAAGAAGATTTAATAAAATATATATCACTTCTTGTAGGTCATAAGGCTATGTAAGAGCTAAAGGGCTCGCCAAAGTGATCTTGGCTGTAGAGATGGAAAAGAGTTTTCTTTACATGACAATAGTAGAAGATGATAAGACTTGAAGGAGAAGAGATTTTATTCATTTGCAACCAAAGATGCCTTCCCATGGCCACTCCTGTCTTATCTCTAAAGATTTAGATCCTCCCATAATTCTGCTTGTTTCAGGTGTTACCGCTGCACCTGCTCGATTCTTCTCATCTCACTTAAGGAGATGTGGGCTTCAATACAAGGGATAAGAGAGATGATAGAAAAGAATCAGGAGCTAAGGCAAAAGAAGTTGCTGCACTGCAGCTTCCTCTCACACCGGGTTAACAGTGCTCATCTGGTGGGGGAATTTACAGAGATATCCTCTGCAATGCAACAGTAACCTTTTAATGTGTTACAAACATCCACAACCAACTTTACTCACATGGAAAGTGAAGTTCATTTTCTCTTCCATGCATGTTTTAGGCTCATTTTCTTCCTGTGAGCCATACACAAATGAAGTTGGGTTTACAAACCTGATAAAAACAAAATCGAATATAATTTCAGAATTGATCTGATTTACTAAGGAGCCACAGATCATCTTTATGTTTAACCTGAATATCAGCATGTCTTTTAAATATATTCTAATCTGTAATATGTTCCAAACATTGGAATAGTAATAGTTTCTTGGTATGCTAAGCATTTTAATAAAAATGTACTAAAATTAGAAAGCCATGTGCTCTCTTAGGTGATTTTATTTTTCCTCACCCATCTGCTAACCTTTCGACTGACCAATTTGGCTGACAATTTAATTTCTCTCTCAGTAGTTCATGTAAATTTAACTGTAGCACCGTCCTCCCATTGTTCATTGATTTGCTCGAGCGGGCACCAGTAATGTCTCACAACAAATTGTGAGACTCATTGTTACTGTTTTTGGCATATCGAATACATCACGGGGAGCTTGCCAGGCTTTGCCATGCGAGTGGGATACTCTCGGTAGCTTGCCAGGCTCTCTGAGAGGGGCGGAGGAATCGAATCCAGGTCGGCTATATGCAATGCAAACGTCCTACCTGTTGTGCTAAAATTCTTAGTTTCCCCCTAGAGTTTCACTATTTATCCTATACCTTAAATTATTTTACATAAGTTTGAATACTTTCCTTCTGGCTATTTTTAATGAGTTTCAAGTCTTGGTAATGGTTCAAACACCAAAGAGCATGGTAATTTTTTTGTTAAAATATTGTTCATCATTTGTGTATGTACACATATAAATATATAGCTTCAGGCTATTATTAATTTTTTATGATCTATATATTTTTAGGAATTTTTTGTCCCTTTTTTTTTGCTTTTGGGGTCACACCCAGCAATGTTCAGGGGTTACTCCTGGCTCTACACTCAGGAATCACTCTTGATGGTGCTTTGGGGACCATATGGGATGCCAGGGATTGAATCTGGGTTGGCTACATGCAAGGCAAATACCCTACTATTGCTCTGGCTTCAAGAAATGTTTTTCTGACTTCACAAATTGCCCTTGTTTGAAAGTAATATCAAATTAGAGATCCATTACTCTGCAGAGCAATCAGAAATATTCAAATGCTGTAGATTTAGGCAGCTTAATAGTTAGAGTATTTTTTTTGTGCATATGGCAAAAATAGGTGAATCATGCTAAGAAAATCAAGGAGTAGAGGTGATGCCAACATTCAAAACTAGGAAATATGCCATCATTTGTTTTTGCTTAGATATAGGTCACTAGTTCTTTCTAATTTTAATGGCTTTATCCTGGCTCTATCTCACCCTTACTAGCTTTACTTCACTTCAACATTTTCAGACATTGGTTTTTCTGTTTATGTAATAATAAACAATATTTATGGGTAATTAAAAATGATCATAGAGTTTGTATTTAGAGTAACAGTAAGGTTCATCTATTTGTTATAGATCTCCTATCTATTGCTTAAAAATATGGTTTTAAAAACAGAATAATTGTGAATAATTTCCAGTAAAATTAAACTTTAAAAAAATACTTCATTCTTTTTCCAAACAATTCTTTCCCAAACCAGAGGAGGATCTACTCAAAACAATGACCAAATTCATAAGAATTCATAAAGACTGCTTCTGGCACTTTAGGAGAGGAAGTCCATAAATCCTGGGTGTAAAAGAATGGGACATGGATAGTTGTAACTGTCTCTCACATATCAATCCATTCGTCACACAGGCAGATGTGGGTTCTGGAGAGAGGGATTTGACCAAGATCACACTTCTTTGAACTTCATACTTGTCATTCCACTGAGAATGGTCATCTAAGCTACATACTTCCCATCCCTTAGGGTCCGAAGCCTGTACCATATAGCTAAAACGATGAATTTAATTTGTTGAGGCTTATTAGGTTTTCCCAGTATGAAAACTCCTCCAGATTGGCACTTGTTTGATGTGTTCTGTGTTATATATTACAGAATGAATTAAAGCTATGTAAAACTACAAAAATGATTGCAATCTGAGGCCACTGTTGAGTCAGAAACAGTAGAGGATCCTTTTACAACATAAAAAATACAACCTTACCATTAATGTAAGAAACGACAGAATTTTAAGTCAGCTCTTGAGTGAATCTACTTACCCGTGAACACTGAGCATAACTTCATATTTCAGTGGTATTGCTAAAGTGGCTCTGTTGTCCCTGAGACTGCCCATTTCCCCTTCATTTTCACTGTGAAAGTATAGAAAACACTGTTAGAATTCATCCAGCATAAAAATCATCTTAGGAGAACTCATTACACAGCAGAAAAACCTAGAATACGTGGAGGATGGTTTAAATAATGCTTTGGGGTTGGATCAGAAAGATCACTCAAAGGGCTAGTGCATGTCTTCCATGCATGAGACTTGGTTTTGATTTCTGGCACTGCACTCTAGTCCCTTGCCCCTACTCACAGTAATGATGGTTATGGGCCAAGAACCAAACCAAACCAAACAAAAGAAAACAAGCAAACAAACAAGACACTTGGGGGGGTGTCACAAAAGCAGAACAGCTATATAAAAATTTGCATAAATTTGCTTTCCTCCTCAGAACTTTCACTTGCTTCTATGCTGGTAGGATACTTTTTGTTGTGTTGTTCCTTAATGCATGTAAGAGAAGTTCTCTCCTGCAAACTATGAGTCCCCTAAGATTTCCTCCCCACCCAGTGGGGGGGTCACTTTATTTAGTATTTTTCATAATGACTATACCAGGAAGCATGCACAGTGATGTTGAGGTCTTCTTCTGCTTTGCTGAGTGAGCTTGCATCCAGGAGAAAGCTAATATCTATCTGTAAAAACAGGAAAATCCCGCTTTAAAAATACCAAAAATATAGGTTATCATGTGAATTTTAAGTTTTCCCAACAATATCAGTTCTGAGGAATACATCTTTGAAACTACATTGCAGAGGCATTAGTCACACTTATTAATGGGGCTGCCAGCTCTGGGAAAGCTCCTGGCTTGTGGCAGCTTGAAATACAGTACTTGCATTTCCACAGTGACATAGAGACAAAGCCTCTTTTGAATGAAAAGACAGGCGGGTCCACACTGACAAAATTAGAGATGCTTTAACAACTTGAGTGAGGACTCTTGTCAGAAACACCTTTTTGTATAGCAGAGGTAACATGCCTGGCAGATAGGACCACCTGGAGTGGGGTGGGGGGGTGTTGAAGAAGGGTGAGATGAGGGAGCAGAATTCTGATTGACACATTCAGATGCCCATTTTGACATAAGGATGTGCTACCCCCTTTTTAATAGTGAAGACTGCCAAGAGTATAAACACAAGCTCAAAGATCTTGAGCTCAGCTGGTTTGGGTTTGATTTCATTACTTAGTTGCTTACCTTAAGTGAAAAAAAATATATATAAGCATAGGAAAATCGTTTATATATGTTAGTAGCAAGAAATATAATAAATAAATGCTTACCTTTGAGAGATGATCTACATATATATAACCGACAGTACAGTCAAGTTTTACTATGCCAGAGTTGTCTCTCACTTCACAGTTTATTTGCTTCTCCTCCTACAAGGAAAGTGAAAAGACTATTTCAGGTACAAAGGAGATAAGAAGTTTGCAACGTATTTTTAAGTATGGTTATTTAAGGAATTATTCCCGAAGAATTAAGTTTCTGGAAGATTATTTTCTGTTTACTTCAAGATAAACACAAATGTAGTTAAATGATCTAAATATTGCTTTTATGCAAAGGCCATTCCATCACTTATATAAATGGTGCACAGAAAAAGTCCTCAACTTGTAGCTTTCATCCATATTTGTAGTTTTCTTACTTAATTCAAGGTTTTATTTAATTTCAAGTTCCATTAAAAAAATCACAAGATAGGGGCCAGAGAGATAGTACAGTGGGAAAGAGCAGCCTTGCATAGGGTCAACCCAGGTCTGATCTGGCATCCTATATTGTGCTTTGAGTCTGCCAGGAGTGATTGCTGAGCACAAAGCCCTGAGAACTTCTGGGTGTGGCCCAAAACCAAGCAAAAAAAAATCACATGGTAAGTAATTAATAAAATTCATATTCTACTTGGGCTGAAGTGATAGCACAACAGTAGGGCGTTTGCCTTGCACATGGCTGGCCCAGCTGAGCTGGGTTCAATTCCTTTGCCTCTCTCAGAGAGCCTGGCAAGCTAACGCGAGTATCTCACCTGCACGGCAAAGGCTGGCAAGCTACCTATGATGTATTTGATATCCCAAACACAGTAACAACAAGTCTCAAAATGGAGACATTACTGGGCCTGCTTGAGCAAATCGACGAACAATGGGAGGACAGTGCAGTGCGTATTCTACTGACCTGCTTCCATATGGAATCTGATAAAGTATTTAATCATAATAACTTTAATTACAATAAGACATAAATGTATTATATTCAAATCATAAGTTCTCGGGGAAACATCTCTGTATATGTGTGTATATATACATTTATATGTACTGTAATATGTATAAATGTTTGTATGTACTTGAATATTTGAGTCTCCTCCTCTTATAAAGCAAATAGATGCAACACTTATTTTGTGTGGGAGGGGATTCACACTCTCATTGGTGCTCAGATGTCACTCCCCAGCAGTGCTCTGGGGATGATAAGGGGTGCAGAAATTGAACTGAGCTTGGCCACATGTAAGATAAGCACCTTAACCCCTATACTATTTTACTGACCCTTCCAATTCTCTTTAGAGAAGGAACAGTCAAATACTTATGAGAGGTCAGTCCTTTCTCAGTACCCTTGATGTGAAGAGATGGTCTTGATAAAAGATGGGTTATTTTGAGAAGGGATAGAGGAACAACACATGAGAAAATGATGAGGCTTTTGTCCTTGAAATTAACCCTATTAATATCTCACTGCTGGACGTAAATGCTTAAAATTAGGGCAGTGTTTGTTTTCTCTTTTCTTTTCTTTCTTGCTATTTTTAAATCTCCAGGTTGTCTAACCTTTTACAAGAAAAGAGAAATCTGCTTGAAATCTGAAACCAAGATTTCATAATTTGTGAAGGATTGCTGGCCCCAAGCAAGAGGAGTATTATCACATCACCAGATGTTGATGTTCCAGTGAGAAAAGCAATGGCTTCCAAGTCACTTGCTTAGATAACTGTGTAATTGTTTTCTTACAGCAGCATCTAGAAGTACAAAGCTTGACTCTCTTTTAACTGAATTTGATTTTAAAGGACTTATCAATTTTGATCAGAGACATAGAGGATGTGTCAAAACTAATGGTAAAATCTGAATATCAGGGCTCATTTCTCAAGTGTTTATATCCAAACTGATGAAGTAAATCATGCTAATCATACTTCTAGAATTAAGCAAAATTATATGTATTAGCCTGATATTGTAGTTTTAATACTTACCAGGTCCAAAATCTTAATGAAGTAAAGACCGGAGGGTAGTTGGATGTGGAGAGTTGTTTCATAAGCATCATCTCCAGCATTAAACAAGGACACATTCAACATTAATGTCTTCATACTTCCAATAGCAAGATAGGTTTTATTTTCATGTGGCCTAGAAATTAAGGAAATATTCTTTAATTATTCTTTGAGAATTAAAATTCCTATCTTCCATTTATCATGGACACATAATATTAGTTTTAAAAACTCACCATGAGAATGTAAGCAGATACAAATTGGCCTTAAAAGGAGGCCAGCATGGACATGGACCATGCAGATTTGATTCCTGGCACCACATATGGTCCACTGAGACCACAAAAAAATGATCCCAGGACACAGAACCAGGAATAGGCCCTGGGCACCTCCAAGTGTGCTCCCAAACCAAAAACAAAAAAGAGAGCGCAATGACCAACAAATATATGTGGCATCTAAGAATATCAAATATTATAAGGTATTTGGGAACATTTCCAAATATTTGGTGCAAGTATTGGCTAAATAATAAAAGTTCCTGGAATCATCACTACAGATTCTGTCAAATTGAGATTGTAATAATCTGTTCTATGATTGTATGCAAATTTCAAATGTTATATCATTATATTACTACATGATTCAATCATCCATACTCCCTTCAAATAATCTAATGCCTTAGGGAGTGATACAACTTGTGAATAGGCCAACAACTTAATACCAACATCAATATGCTGGAGTGATAGCACAGCAGTAGGGCATTTGCCTTGCACGCAGCCAACACGGCCGACCCGAGTTCGATTCCTCCGCCCCTCTCGGAGAGCCCGGCAAGCTACCGAGAGTATCTCGCCCGCACGGCAGAGCCTGGCAAGCTCCCCGTGACGTATTCGATATGCCAGACACAGTAACAACAAAGTCTCCAATAGAGACATTACTGGGCCTGCTCAAGCAAATCGATGAACAACGAAAGGGCCTTATTTATTTATTTATCAATATGGAGAGGGAGTATATTTTTATTTGGGGGCTACATCCAGTGGTACTCAGGAATGACTCCTGTCAGATTTGAGAGACCATATGGAATGCTTGGGATTAAACCTGGATCAGCTGTCTGATAAATGAATGTCTAACCCATGGCAAATTTCTCAGGTTCCATAAAGGGAGCATATTTTTAAATAAACAAATTATTACTTTTTTCAGATCTCTTAATTTGAAAACAAAATAAATTTTGGGTGCATATTCACATTATTATACCTCTATAATAAATAGTCTTTGGAACTGAACAGCTCATTAAACACTTAAAAGTTCTCTGTAACCTCCCATGAGCATTACAACTAAAAAATCTGCACAACTCCTGACCATCACAACAATGTTAATAATAACAAAAGAAAGGTAAGAGAGGAGGAATAAAAAACTTAATTAAAAGACTTATTCTTTCTCTTTTTTCCACTTAGATGGTTTACAACCCAAGACTTATACTGAGCCAAGGAATTAACTATAGAAAAATGCAAATCTTTTAAGGGTACTGCTCAGTAACTTTTTGCAAACTAAATATATTCATGAAACTAGCACCCAGTTCAAGAAAAACAAATTACAAATTACCAGTATCATTTGTTTCCCCTTTCAGTTACCACCCCCCCACTATCTGTTTTTTAATGAGGGAATACGGAATCTGCCCAGTTTTATAGTTCAGTATTAGAATCAAAGACTATATCATCTTTGATTCTCAGACTTTATTTACTCAAGATTTTGTGTTAGATTAATTTACATTGGTGAAAGTAGTTTTAAATGGTTTATTTTCATTGGTATATTTATTCTACTTTATAAATATAAAGCAATTCATTTATGCAATCAATTACCATTGCGGATTTCAGCAATTTTAATTTGGAACTAGTCTTTACATATATGAGTATAATCATATATATGCATATACATATATACAGACATATACATATATACATAAATTTGTTGGATTAGTTTTTTTTATTAGTGAATCATGGTGAGGTACAGTTACAGGCTTACAAATTTTTGTGCTTGCGTTTCAGTCATACAATGATTGAGTACCCATCCCTCCACCAGTTCCCATTTTCCACCACCCCCTCCCTGTCATTGTTAGATTAGTTTATCTGTGATCAAGTTCTTATGGTTTTAAAACCCAGAACTAATTCTTTAAAAGTCACTGTTTGGCTAATTTTGGCAACTAAATCAAATGATACTTAGAACTATATTTAAAAACAAAATATAACATAGGGAACCACACTTAATTAAGAGCAAAATGTTCTACAGGGTTTTGACATGAAAAGCAAGAGAGGTAGAAAATCTTCTCTGTGAAGTCCAAATTCAAAACTCTGTTCAATTTTGTAGTAATGGCCCACGAGAATACAGTTTTACTCATTTTCCAGGGTTGCTTTTGTACCTCAATATCAGAGCTAAGTAGGAGGCAGAGATCACTGGCCCACATAATCTAATCTCTCTGCTCATTCATGGAAATAGGTTGCCTGCTCAGTCATAGAGCAAGCTGATGAGTACAATTAGTTTCAAAATAATCATACAGTATATCACTGTTGTTCTGACAGTACTAAAGTCTTAATTATTTCAGATAGCACAGGACTGGTGAAAAAAATTCCCCAGAATATTTCCTTAGTTGGTACTCTAGACATTGAGAAGAAAAAAATGAAGAATATGCTCAGATACTGCATCCCTAGATCTTTTCTGTGTGGGCTTAAGAAGTTAGATATTTGTAGGAAGGTGTGTAATAAACTAAAATAATTAATTCTAAACCCTGGCTATCATTTCAGGATGATCCAGTTGTAGTGTGGTATTTCTCCTAACACTTACGAGAATGGCTGTGATGTATCATTTCTGTGTTGAAAACCTTTGTGTCAGGTAAGTGCATGTGCACTGGGTGACATCGTGTTAAATGGCAGAGTGGCTGTGCACAGGCACATGGCTGTCCCACACCATTCTCCCTGCTGTGCAATAATCATGTCACAACTAAAGGAACCTAAGAGGTTCTAAGAGTAAACTTCGACTTGACATTAAAGTTTAATTAAGACTTGGAGAAGAGCTGCCTAGAAATAGACATTTATAAAATATTCTGGCTTGGAACCAAAGCATTAGTCACTGAACACCTTTGGGAAAGAAGTTGGCACTTAGACAAGCAACAGAAGGTGAAAGCACTGCATAAACAGCTAGGTTCCAAGACAACAGCAAATTAAAGAGAAACACAATGTTCACATTTCAGCAGCTAGACTCCTGGTCTAATTTTCCATTTTTAAGCTATTTTGCTACATTACCATAATTATGATTCTACTCTATTTTTTGGATATACATCCTACGGTATCTTGATTCATTAATAAGGTGCTATCAGAAAGATACCCAGCAGCTTTTTCATGTGAAACAAAATAAAGGACCAGGTGCACATCTGGAAGTGCGACAAGACTGAACCAGAGCTTTCTCTGAATCATAGTTCATTCTTCATTAAAAAATGCATAATGCAGACTTGAAATTTACAAAGCAGTCTAGAATCCACATAATTTGTGCAAATGAAAAGTAGTGTGTACATACAGCATCATAACTTATTAAGTGGAAGGGGAAAATACAAAAATGATGCATTTCACAACTAGGCCCTATGTTTTTCCTGAGTGCGTTATGTTGTTCTTTTGTGGAAGAAATATTCTCCAAGTCCATAAGAAATAGACTCTGCCTACATACAAGGAAACAGTGCCTCATTATTAGCCTGTTTTCCTTAATATTCTAGAATCATAACAATAAACAGGTAAGTACTTTCATCAAGGTAACCTTAACATCAAATTAAAATAAGTAGTCTGCAGCAAGTGACCTACAAGCTCCTAGGAGGGACAAATTTCTCTTTTTGTTACAATAATCCAGGGGATTCTCATCTCCTGGAATACATTAAGTATTTGACATTTAGGAAGAGCATATTGAATAAAGGTATACTCACTAAAGTTCAGAGGGGTATAGCAGAAGAATAAGGACAGAAGATTGAACTAGAAATTAATTTGTTTCCATGTACGAAGCTTAGCATTCATCTTCTCCAAATGCTGTCCTTGGTGAGGCAAATAGTCCCACTGCCTCAATTTTTAAAACTGAGAATTTTGTTAGACACACTATTCAGGGGACTAACAGCAAACAGGCAGATGTTTTGCAGCATTCACCGTCTACTCAAGCATCAGTTTCCTTCTCAGCTGCTAATACAAACCTGGATTATCCTATATTGCAGAAGAGAAAAGCTTATACTACATCTTTAGGGACTGGATTGTGATGCATCTAACATAAGAATGATGACTCCATTCTCCTTCGCCTAGGTGAGATTCCCGATGAGCATGACACAGGTCTCATTAATCAGAAAGAGTAATCTGCTCAAATACTTCCCTTTTTGGAAAGGCATCTGTAAGTGGGCACTGAATTTTGCTCTTGCTTATTTCTTATTAGGACCTTCAGTGCTGCCACTGTGCCAGTTAGTTACTATGAGAAAAAAATCCAAGACAACTGGAAAGATAATCATAAATGTCCAGAATTTTGATCTCTGTTCACTGCTTATTATGCAAAATATTTAAATGGTCTTATTTCTAAAGGCTCTGTTAGGTGTTCTACTACCTGAAATTCCTCAAATTCAAAGCATTCCTAACTGACACAGAGGCAATTCATTGTTTGGTAAAAGCCTATATCCCTCATGCAGGAGAGAAATGGTGTAATTTCTATCAGTAATCTTATGGATCATTTGATTTTAAACTAACTGCGATAGCTAATACTTGCTATTACATTTATAATTTTGATCAAGTAATTTTTGTTGACTTTTATTTTGCAGTACATGTGCATTTGGATATAGTTTATTTTCCTGAGAATTTTGACATTCAGGAGGAAGCCTTAACTTAATGAAAACGCGAGAGCGCATAAGCATGGTTTAGTTTGCTGTCGGCACTCTATTATTGCAGTCATCAGAAACTTATGTTCTTTACTGAGTAAATACATTTACCTAGTGCAGGTTTGTAGCTCTGGGCTACATAAATACCATTAGTGCCAGTGGAGTTATAGTTGGGAGAATGCAGAGAACATATGGTCACAATTTGCCTACTATTACTGAGATGAGAGAAAAGACACGAAATGTGGGAGAGGCATATTTTTGTC